AGATAGATAGATAGATAGATAGATAGATAGATAGATAGATAGATAGATAGATATAGAAAGATGATAGAGATAGAATTGATTGATAGATTGATTAGATAGAGAGGTGGATGGATGGATGGATGCGAAGGGAAGGACTAGATATAACATTTACAGCTGTCTGATCTGTGTTTAAAGAAAGATGGTCTTCCATCTTCCCTTACAATTGTGTAATAGAAAGGGAGTGAAAGCATGCATAACCATCAGACCATGCATCTTGCAAGACTATACTACTTTCAGATACCATATCTGAAAAAGAAAATTAAAGTTGCTGGCTTGAAATATGCAGAAATGCAGGTATTTCACTGATGAAAAGCTAGTGGCTTCCTAAAACACATAAACAGAGGGTTTGCTGTAAAAACATTTATTGAAGCTTCCTAGAAACTGTTATTGAATGAAGCTCACCATGACCAGAGCACTGTGGAGATAAACAACCAGGGAATTATGTGCTTAGAATTCTCAGAAATGAAATCAGGCTCTCTCTCATTTTTGGTCCAGTTGCATTCTCTTAAAAGTTGTGAAGGAGCAAACAAATATCGGTGTCATATATGTTAAGCTAGCCAGCCTAGTAAAGGGTGATGGTGGGTTTTCTTGCCATGGAGGAAGTAGGAAAATTTGCTTTTGCTATGACTATTAAAGGAATTCTGCGGAAAAATATTAGAGTCAATGACTCTTGGGTATCTTACAGCCCAGGCTGCCTCTTCCTTCTTTAGCCAAGTACAAACTGGCTTATCTCTGTTTTTTTTGAGAAGTTTGTCTTGTGCTTCATTATCTTGTTCTTGGGGAAATATTGGGGTATTTCTGCCCTGGGTTTTAAATCTGCATAAAATTCACCATGTTTCATTTTCAAAGCACTTTTGCATAATTCATTGGGGTTTTCCCAACCATCTGGAAGACTGAAGGGATGGGATGCAAGACAACTTAATTTGCTCCACTAATAACCTCTGGGGGAAGGAGGAGCTAATATACCCTGAGTACCAATTAGACATTGCCAATACAATCTGAGCATGACTGGTGCTAAGGGGTTTTTCTTTCTTTCTCATTGATTATTTTCTCTCTCTTTCTTTAAAAACAATCGAAAACTGGCTTCTATGCTGGGATAGCATCTTCTGAACCTTTTCTGCCATTCAGTGGAATAATCCCAATATATGTACATGGCCTTGCTATCTTAAGTATGCTCGCTCTGGAAGCCAGGAGGAATTGCACCATTAAAGAATGCAAAACTATCCTTGCCTTTTGAAAATTATAACATTTCGATTCGATACAAGAAACTTTTATGGAATATGTTAAGTTAAAGCCAGAGCAATGCAGTGGCCTCCCACTTGGAAGGTTGGAGAGTTCAATCCTAGGCAGCACCATATGTTTCTCTTATCAGGGTGCAAAGAGAAAAAAATATCTGTTGCAAACTCGGCATAGGAATTACAGGGTCATAGAAAGAAAAACAATTAAGCTAAAGCCAAATTTGATCGAAGTTTGGAAAGTGTGTTCTAAACAGACTGTTATCTGGTGCATTTTATATTAAACAGGTCGTATGGTGAGATGTTTGAGATGCCCCATTGCCTATCACTCAGGAGATGGCTGTATTGCTGCAGGAAGCTTGTTTGTGTCATCCCACATCCTCATCTGTAGTAACCATTCCAAAAGAAGCAATCACTCCTCATCAGCTGTAAATGTAGGCTTTTGTTTCGTTTGTGCAAGAGGTGAGCTCCGTTTTTTGCCTTCCTTTTGTCGATCTCTTTGATGTTGAGTCTTTGATTTTGATTTTGATTTTTTTTTTGAAAAAAAATAATAATGAACTGTTATACCCCCAGAATCGCACACCCTCCCACATACTTCCGATGTGTATTCCCATAGAGAGACACAGACCTCGTGTGCATTCCCATAGATAGACACAGATATCACTCCAAGGAATTACTGTTGATCAAGAATTCCTCCTTGGCGGTCGGGAAGAACAGCGTCTAATGACCATTGCTGGATTTTCTCTTAACCTTCTTGTTCTCTGTGCCTTTTCTTAAAACAAAACAACAAGGATCTTCTTTTGCTAGTTTGGGGGATGGATGAGGGGGAAATAGGCTGACAACAGTGACTCAAATCCTGAGAAAGTTAATTGACTTCCATTTATTTAAAAAAAAAGTATATGAATCAACCCATGTAAATTGATGAGTCATCTTGAAGGTGGATGGATGTGTGGCTTCTAGATTAGGAAGGAATTCTTTTTTATCCCATACTTTCAATTAAAATGTTTTATACGAAACAATTTTCTGCATGACTTTAAAAAGTATCACCCTTATTTAGCTAGAATTATGTCTATTTCCCTGTTACCTGCCTCACCTTCTTAACCCTGCTAATTTGAAGATATAAGAGTATTTTTTTAAGTTAGTAGCTTTAGTGAACCAAAGCTCACCTCCATTACAGAAATTCACTTATAAGGTATAAAAGATTTAAATTGAATTCATTCTCGTGTAACAATAATGTGACAGCAAACTTCACATGTATGTTTTGAGCAAACATAGCTAAAGAATGATCATAACTGAGTGATAAAACCCCTAGTTATTTTCAGTTAGAGGGAATTGATTTGGTATTAAAATATATAAGAAATAAATAAATAAGAAATTACGCTCCATACATTTAATTCAAGACAGACCTATTTATCCTATTGAAATATAATTGTAGGCAACTATAGGCTTTCAGGAGATTGGCACTTGTTATATCCAATCATCTTCAGTAAAAGCAATAGGTACATTAAAACTACTTTTATGTGCGCAGCACAAGAAAGATAGTTTAGAGAGAAAATGTATGTGGAGGATAAAAAGATATTGGAATGGGGGTGGTTGTTACCAGATATATGAGAAGAAATATAGCAGCTGCAGTTCCAGGCGAAACCAGGAGACAGAGTTCTTATTGCATTAAATAAATGTTTTGCAGAAGAATAATGTCTAAAAGGTTAGAGAAAGAAAATTTTAGAGTGCTGAATCTGAATTATATGAAAGCAATTTTTGGAAAGGATAATTCGTTGATTTTTTTTTTTTACATCTCAAGGCGAAACTATATGTAGTCATTAAGAGATGACAGTGATTTGATGACACACAGTCAATCAATAAATCCGTTTTTATTTCTTTCAGGACTTTGACATACGTTTTTAAACCAATATTATTGTCATTCGAATCCTTTACATATGTAGGTGGAAATCTGGAGATTTTGTGCTTTTAGTGCTTCTTCTTACCCAGAGTTTAAATTGCTTTTAGGTGCTTTTCCTTCCCACTTTAATAATGATTCAGTTTTATATTTGAAAGTAGATTTTTTTTTAAAAAAAATTAAGAGATCATAGTAGAAAAAGGGGCCAGACCCACTAAGATTAAATTTAGTGAAGAAAATGGATAAATATAAATTAAAGCTTTTAAGCAGTTATTACACTAGTTTTAAGTTTTCAATAACATTGTAGTTGCAGTTATTTTACTGTTTGGAACTTTAGTTTCCATTAAAGTCAGTGAAATTTGGATTCCCCAACATTGTGTATAGAAGTACAACTTAATTGCTTAGCTTATTGCTGTAGCCTTAGCTTGGTAATTATTCCTGAAGTCCAGAAAAGGCCACTGTCTTGTGAAAATGCTTTAGATCAGGGGTGTCCAACCTTGACAACTTTAAGACTTGTGGACTTCAACTCCCAGAATTCCTCAGCCAGCAAGGTTGGACACCCCTGCTTTAGATTATATTTTTAAGTTTCTTGCTTAGGCCAGATGGTTCTGATGCTTTTGATCACAGAGAATTAATATCCTGAAATTATACAAGATTATGCACACCTAGAATAGATTTCTGCAAGCAATACCTTCATTAGCTAAAGCTCAGACCAGTTGTTCTGATCCAACCTGGTTTCAAGAGAGCAAACACAAGACAAAGGCAGCAGCCCCCACCTTTTAAGGTTTCATCTACGAATTCTGTTTCTTCACAGATAAAAGGCTGCTTCCAACTAATTAGCTCTGACAAGAAAGAGCCTTGCCAAGTTGTTTTTCGAGACTGCCCCAAACCCACAGATTATAATGTCCACAAGGCTGAGTTTCAGAGCGTCTTTGCCTTCTGCAAAGAACGCTTCTTCAAACCTGGCTTTTATCTTCTTGAGGGAGGGGCCATTACCTTGCAGGCTTACTCCCGAGTCGCCCATGCTGCTGTAACTGCTCTCTCCTATGAGCAATCCTTCGTGCACGTGCATTGGCACAGGCTCCTCGGGAACTTCCTCATCACTGCTGCCATCCCCCACAATCTCTGAAGGCTGCAGTCCACTCCCTGATGGTCCTGGCCCCTCATCTGAGTCCTCGCTCTCCTCAGCCATCCGCACCTGCTGCCAGCTAACCACAACATTAGTCTTTGACTTACCACCATTTGTTTAGCAGCCGTTGTGGCGCAGTGGTTAAAATGCAGTATTACAGGCTAATTCTGCTGACTGCCAATAATTTGGCAGTTTGAATCTCACCAGGCTCCAGGTTGACTCAGCCTTCTGTCCTTCCGAGGTGGGTAAAATGAGGACCCAGATTGTTGGAGGCAATAGGCTGACTCTGTAAACCTCTTAGAGAGGGCTATAAAAGCACTGTGAAGCAGTGTATAAGTCTTAAGTGCTATTGCTAGTGCTGTTATCAAATTATAACGGTGCTGGAAAAGTGACTAACAACCAGTCCTCAACCTTACAACCATCACAGCATTCCTATGAATTCACATAATCAGAAGTTAGGCATTTGGCAACTGGCACATGATGGTTGCAATACCTCTGGGTCACATGATAGCCATTTAGCTATGATCTTCCAAGAAACAAAGTCAATACAGTAAATTACGTTTTCTGAATAACCATGGAATTCGTCCTGCCAAACAAGGTCATGAAATCAGATTCAGCTCACTTAGCAGCCAACATTGTTTAGTGATAGAAGTTCCAGTCCAGATTGTGGTCATAAGTCAAGGACGACTTGTACACGCACATTTCTGGTTTTTTGTTTGTTTTTTGGGTAATGCTATTCTGTAGCAATAATCTTTGCATCCCGATGCATAATGCTGCCAAGCAGCTTATATGATAATGATGAATTCATCACCCTGCACGGAGAGAATTCCGGCATGTCCATTGGCCTTTGGTGTGGAGACAGCAAGCTAGTCCCCTCCCCCTGACCCCCAAAATAATCTGTCTTGAGGGTTAAAGGTTTGTTTCTCCATGTTTGTGGGTTGGTTTCCAAACGTTTCATTACCAGAGTAGATAACATCTTCAGGGGAGTTTAGGGTGTGTCAGGGTCAGTGGTTATAAGGATGTTCTGACCCAGCTCCCCCAAACATGACAAACCCTCTGACATGAATCCAGAAGGTTCCTTTGTTAGGAATGCCAGCAGCCCGGCAAAAAGTTTCTCTTGCAGACTAACAAGTCCGTCCATCTGGAAGATGAATACTTGTCTGCCACAGCTATTCCTCTCCGCCCCCTGCCTTTTATCTCCAGAGCTGGGGTGAGGCTTCTCTAGCAGCGGTGGGTCTTCCTTCCCAAGGACCGGCCCATAGACTTCCACTGCTCTCCTCTCCTTTCTGCTTTCTGTGCATCTGCGCATCAGGCACTGGACCCAGCTGGTCCTCCTCTTCTTCATCAGCCACCTCCAGATCTGGGGGCTGTTGACTCTTCATCTGAGGGCTGATGGATGACCGATGCTCTGCATCTCTCTCTCTCTCTCTCTCTCTCTCTCTCTCCCTCTCTCCCTCCCTCTCTCCCTCCCTCTCTCCCTCCCTCCATCTCCCTCTTCCCCCTCAGAGCTCCCAGGTTGCCCTGATGCTAACCCTGGCTCCCACGTCACTTCCTCCTCCTCTGATTTGGCTGCTGGAGGGGCCAGTCACTGAATAAGCCACAACAAAGGAATTCAGGTGTTCTGTTTATAAGGATACCCACACCTGAAGCCCTTATAAACAGAACACTGACCCTAACATCTCCTAAATTCCACTGAAGATTTTACCTAGCCTGGTGTGATCACCCAGGATGGGATACAAAATAAACACAGTCACAAAAAAACAGGTGAAGCCCCTTTTATTCCTTCACTTTGCTTCCGAGCTCCAAATATTCTTGACTGAAGACAGAAAACTCCCACGCAAACAGTTACAAGAAGGAGGAAAAAAGCAACACAAACCAGGCAAGGGCTGGAGGATATCCACAGATAACACACACTGGGAAGGATGCCAAATTCAGAGAGGAACTGTAGAGATATTTACATGCTTTGTTTCCAGCGTTTGCCAGTACGCAGGTCCAAACTCTTATTCAGTTGTCACAGCCACAGCCCATGAAGAGGATCAAGGCCCTCTCCTCCCAAGGAGACCACGTCTCTCCCTTATCCTCTCCTCCCCACATGCCCTAGGATGGATGGGGGATGGGCCTGGGTCCTCCTCTGACTGCCCAGCCGGCCTCTGCCCTTCCCCAGCCTCCTCCACAACCTCCAGAGCCACACTTCCACTCCCTGTCGGCTGTTCCTTCTCTCCCTCAGATTCAGTCTCCATCAGGGGCATGACACTTGGTAACAAAACATTTGGAAAGCAACCCACAAGCTCAGAGAATGAACCTTTACCCTCATCCTACACCTGAGGATGATATATCAATAGTGATATTTGTCACTATTGCATAAGCTGTCTTCCCATGCATGTAACCTTTGCTGTACAGAAGCCTTTCTCCTTCTTGGGATAGCTTCATAAAACAACCCACACTGAAAGATTATCCCCTTTTTATTTAAAATTAATACCCCCAAGTTTTTTAAATCAGTTTTGCTGCTATACAGGTATCAGAAAAATAAAGCTTGTTGATTTCCACCTGTTGCTTGAAAACATTTTGCAATTGTCATGGTGCTCACCAGCTACTTTTGAAAAGTTTTGTTGGGAATGGAAAAGTATTAATCTACTCAGCAGCAGGAGGTCTGGTTGCTACAGCAACATGGAATATCAGTACGGTCAGAAAGACAGGTTCATTCAAAATAGATATCATGACATACTCAGGGTCTTGTCCACCCTGCAAACACAAAGAACCTGTCATTTGCTTCTTAAGTAGCACAGTGAAATTTTCTTTTTCTTTTCAGAGAAGCATTTTGTCAGACATTTTGTTTAAGATGTTCTGTAAAATGCACATGAGGGCAAGTATATAATGGTGCATATCATTTTTTTTTTGTTTTGAACTTTAAAAGTATTTTCCAAGTTGGTTACAAATATTAAAATAAGTCATCTTTAAAAAAATAAAATACATGGAGGAGAAGAAAAAGACAAATTTAAATGGGATTTTTAAAAAAAACTGCTCAAAGAATCTGTAGAGACTGATATAAGTGTTAACACTGATATAAGTGTTACAGTGGAAATGGTACTTCCTTGTAATTGGGTCTCACCAATGCAGTCCTGCATTTCTTGAGGACTAGTATTACTCTTGTAGAAAAAATAAACAGCTTTTTAAAATTTATAGATACAGGCCATGCCATGCCAGAAGTTCAGATAATTTCATTCAGCATGGGTTGTATCTAAATTAATAATTTAAAAGGTTGTTTTCTTTTGAAATAGAATATAAAATTGTTCTTCAAAAATCTGGTTTGGGTTTTTTTGTGTGTGTGTGTTTTGACAACCTCTAACACTAAACCTCCAAAGACTATCCAAATTTTTTGCTCTGGACCACCTACTTGGACACTGATAAAATTCCCTCATGGGGCAAGGTGTTCCCAATTGCTTGTGGACTTGGAGTCTGCATTCACACATAGATAGCTTAAAAAAAAAACAAGTCTAAAGGTGATACATTTCAGATTTATTTAAATATAAGATCCTTTAAAAGTCTACAACAATATATGACTTTTGAACTCAGCGGCCAAGAATTCCCACTGCAAAACTCAATACTATCTTTGGAAAGCTTTCTGAACAAAGCATTGCAACCTTATAATGGTGGACAAATGAACAAGCCTTCAAGTGAGTGATGGAAGTAAGATTGGGGTGTTTAACTCTGTGTACTAATGATCTCTTCCCCTTTCTTCCATCTGTACTCTTTCTCATTCACATACATGCATGCACATAAGCACCCTTTCTGATCCACAGTCGTATACACTCCCTTTCTCCCTCTCCCTTTCTCAGTGCACAGACACAAACAGAGTTGACCGAGTTAAGCTTATTATACAAATGAGCTAGCAATCACAAGGTGGATTCTTTTGAGTCGATTGGACGGCATGGTTTGTATCTGCCTTTCCTATCCTGCCACCCTCTGGTTACGTTGGGACATATATATTCCACCACCACCACCACCCCAAATTTTTGTTTAGGTTGACTAATTGGGAAGGAAAAAAAATCCCAGCTCGTTTGGAAGATATTGAGCTGAAGAAGACCGATCCTTACTTTGTTTATGGAAAAAAACAGCAAGGAAGAAATTTGTTAAATGTACTTGAATTTGATTTTAATTCTTCTCTGGCCAATTTGTTTGTTTCCTTTAAAGAGCTCCAGTTCTCCCAGAAGTTTTACATTGCTGAAAAATAGTATAGATTAGATTTAGCATCGTTATTTCTACTCTGCAATTATATACAGAATGCAGGGGGTTTTTTTTAATGAAGGAATTCAATTTTACATTTCATTTCCATTGGGGAAACCATAGAGGGCTAGTGGGAAAGGATTCTATTAGTGGTGGTGGGCAGATATTGTTCGAAAAATGTGCTGAAGGTTGTCGCAAAAGGTTTCAAGAGGCAACTGGACTTTCTGGTTTTTCTTTGAAGATGTTTCGCTTCCATCCAAAGAAGCGTATTTAGCTCTCAGAAGCGAAACGTCTTCAAAGAAGAAAACAAAACAAAACAGAAAGTCCAGTTGCCTTTGAAAAAGCATCTTTTGGGACAACTATGACCTGGTTAACTGAGAATCTCCATAGATAGGCTGTAATCAGCATTACTGCCCAATCAGTACAAGCTTTTATCCAAGTTCTTCTATTCAGAATTTTCAGCAAGTAGATTGTTGGTTTTTTTTTTAAAAAAAAAAGCAAGATAGAGCTCTCAGGCATCATGCTTCTCTGCTGGGCCTAGCGTCTTGTCCTTTTTACTTAACTATATTTTGAATTTTTTTAAAGGAGGGAAGGAAGAAAGGAAAGAAGAAAGAAAGAGAAAGAAAGAAAGAAAGAAAGAAAGAAAAAGAAAGAAAGAAAAAGAAAGAAAGAAGTTTTGGAGAAACAGGAAGTTAAGATAACTCAGATTGTTGACTAAGTTATTGTTAGGTGTGAAAAGAAAGGATGTGTTATAGAACCAAAGACAAATCCCTTCTGTATTTTGAGGGCCCTTGAAATTAATAAAAATTAAATGTAAGAGAACCTGTGACATTCTAATATTAATTGACTGGAGAGAATTCTTAACCTGCCTACAATCTAAGGGAAGAGGTTTTGGATGCAACACGGGGAGGAAATTTCTGATTTCGTTTATACTGTATTTATCAGATCTCGTTATCTCCCTGGTGTTGGCCAATCCTACACTATCATCCTTTCCAATATGTTCCAATAAACTTTGCAGTACCTCAGCCAGGTGTTCCTTTCCCTCTAAAGAAGGAGTGCAAACCCCCCCATGAATCTCACCAAACTGATATTTCTCCAGAGTAAATAATATAAGGGTATATCAGTGATTCATATAACAGAAGAGATCCATAAGCTGCAGGTAAAAATATCCACTGGCAAACCTTGCCTAAGTAATGTTTTAACACAGGGGTCTCCAACCGTGGCAACTTTAAGCCTGCTTTGCTGGCTGGGGAATTTGGGAGTTGAAGTCCACCAGGCTTAAAGTTGCCAAGGTTGGAGATCCCTGTTTTAACATATCTATAGCTCAACCAACTGTCTGCATGTGATTTTTTTTTAAGTTTCTAGTCCCTAGTGCAAGTATTAACCACCAGTTGCACAGTTAGCTTTCTTTTAATACTTTTTTGGGTGGGGAGAGGACACTTGAGATATTCTCATAGGTGCTTTTTTTAACTGAAGATTTAAAAAGGAGCACAGGTAAAATTCAATTTCCGATCTAGTACAGGTAGACCTCGACTTATGATAGTTTGCTTACTGGCCGTTCCAAGTTACAACGGCACTGAAAAAAAGTAAATTATGACCACTGTTCACACTTACGACCATTGTAGCATCCCCATGGCCACGTAATCAAAATACGGCAGCTGATTCACATTTACGACAGTTGCAGGGTCCCTGGGGGGGGTGCGATCCCCTTTTGCGACCTTCTGACAAGCAAAGTCAATGGGGAAGCCAGATTCACTTAACGACCGGGTGGCTTATTTAACAATTGTGGTGATTCACCCAGGTCGTAAAACGGGGCAAGCCTTGCTTAACCAATTTCTCACTCAACATCATCAGCTACTTTCACTCTTTTGTACTTGGGCATGGACGCTACCTCCTTCAGTGTGACACCCTCTTAGAGATAGGGAAATATATATATCTATATATATATATATTTGTTTCTTTCACCTTTTCTTTTCCTTCATCGCATCACCTTTCGTTTTCCTTACTTAAAAGCACCAGTGAAATATGCATAACAGGTTATTCATTTCGTTTTTATTTTGGTTTGTTTTTTTTTTTTTCTCTCTCCTTATGGAATCATGGGTAGCTTCATCGCAACTCATTTCTTTCTGTTTGTTTCGTATAGGGCTGATAGTGCAGGATCATTCAGACCCCCTGTTCAGTTCATATGCCAATAAATCTCACTATCTACTGAATGAATCAAATCGTGCTGAGTTGATGAAATTACCTATGATTCCTCCTTCTTCGTCAGCTTCCAAAAAGAAATGTGAGAAAGGTAACCAAAATAGCTTCTTTCTCTCTCTCTCTCTCTCTGTTGCTTTCTCCTTTTGATTTTCTTTCACTTTTCCTGCTTTTTCTTTCTTTTTGTTTGCTTCCTCTCCTTTTTTTTATTTTTTTTTTTGAAACTAAACCAAAGCTTTGTATGCTCATCTGGCACTTCCTCGTTGTGCTTTGTAAACTTCATTCATTGCTTATTTTGAACGTGTATTCATGTTGGCCGAAATCTTCCAAATGGGGCTTAAAATAATTACTGAATTCCACTCAGGCATAGACTTGTGCATGATTAACCAACCCAGCAACCTTTCCTAAACCCTGAGGCAAAACTGTAGACCTATAGAGATTCTGCAGGGTCTTTCTGTTGTTTAGATCTATCATGTCTATTAACCACACTAAAGGAGCTATTGTCCATTTTGGGTCTTATTCAGATTCTTTTACAGCTTAAGAGTAGACTGCCTGGAATTTCCAGATATGACCCCAGTCTAATTGTGCAGTTTATAGCTAGCTATTGACTGGATAGCTTTCTCATTTTACCAATGACCTTACTTTGCAGAAGGAAGATTCACCTTAGGTCCTGCAGTATGTAACATATTCTCTGCCTCTTCTAGGCATAAAAGGCCTTTAAACACATTATTGTAGGGGGTTTCCCAACTTGGCCACTTTAAGACTTGTGGACTTCAATTCTCAGAATTCCCCAGATAGCCTGGCTGTCTGGAGAATTCAGGGAGATGAAATCCACGAGTCTTAAAATGGCCAAGTTGGGAGACTTTATTGTACTTTAAGGAGCTGGATTGCTTTTGGCTGGTATTTACAGCCTCCTACATTTTCATCTAATGGAATAACATAGACATAAACTATTTCCCTTCTTCCATCATTCCCTGGAAGCGTACTTCCTACAGGGGTATTCCTAAACCACTTACTCACTTTACTTATTTCTGTTTCTGTGCCCCTCAGCTGCCAAAGGCTCTGAGCATCTTAAAACAGATCAATAAAACATAGAGTTAAAGTCAATGAGAACAAACCAGCAAAATAATCGCAATCACATAGAGCCACACCACCAGCCAGCGACAGAATAACTCCCGAAGAGCCATGTTTTTTATTTGCAATTCTTTGGAAGCCTTATAGGTAACGCTTTAAATATCGAGCGATAGCTATTATTTAGTTAAGAAGGCTTAACTAAATCTGGTCCCATAGCGTCATTGGCTAGTACTATAGAATTGTGTGTGTGAGGGATTGATTGTTACTTATTGCAAGTCTTCATATCAATCTGTAGAAATTCACAGTTGGGAAGGGGATGCCCAATAGTTCAGGTTCCACCTAAATGACAAGCTACCTGATTCTGGCCCAAGGTCAGGGTTTCTTTTTCATAAAATGATCACACACAACAGGGTAGCATAGTCTGGGAACTGTTCGGACAAGTTCTAACTGTAAAAAACCTACGGATAGCGGCAGTGTGCTTCTCTAATCCTTTTGATGTATTTGTCTTCCCTTCCACTTCATGCACGTAGATAGTACGCATCAAATGAACATGGGCAGTAGCCTGCTCCATATCGACTGCCTACACTGGGAGCCTTGTCCAAACTAAGGGGGTTTTGGTCTGCCAAGTTTGAGAAGATTTTATTGACTCTTGAATGTTTTATAAAGCCTGCGACTTACCATGCTGGCATATTTAAAAGAGTCTTTCTCTCTCTCTCTCTCTCTCTCTCTCTCTCACCAAGAGGGCAAGAGACGATCAATTATTTTGAGCCCTCTTTCATAGCTGCAGAAAATCTTACTAATGCATTGTAAAAGCCAAGTTTCCTTGCTTAGCATTGAAAAAAAAAATCTGTGTGGTTTTATTTGTTTTGCTTGGTTTTCCATATCTTTTGGCATTCTGCTGTTTGGGTATCGTTTGAATGACTGGGGCTGTATTTCCTCTGAAATAACTTTTAATACTTTTAAAATTGATTTTGGGGTTTTTGGAATGATCCTGGCGATCCGAACATTTGGATTTCATTGCATTTCATGCCAGAGGAAATATAGTAATGATTTCGTTGTTTTAAGCAACGTATAAAGCTTTGTAACAATCAGTGCAAATTACAGATTTTTAAAGTCTATAGGTGGACAACATTTTCTGACAGATTTTCAGAAAATGATCTAAATTTCTCCGATACTTAAAAAAAAAAACACGTTTAAATGCCCTCTTCTAAATTATTGGGAGGATTCCCTTCAAGTGTTAAATGCTCTACATTTTTAGATTTGTTAAAGATGCTTGTTATTGACTGAAAGAAAATCAATAGACAGCCTAAGAAACCATTTCTTAAGTTTTCAGCCTTTTAACAAGTGAAATTCTCTTCTTGCTTCAAAAGTTATTTGAACTTAGCACAGAAGTAAAACAAAAACAAAAAAACTGATCTCTCAACTCTGGTTTGTTTACAATACTGGTGTGAAGATCACAATACTTAAATGTTCAAATTGATGCAGATACACCAGTATACTATGCTGAGATCTGGAAAAAAAACAAAAACAAAAAAGGATTATTGTATATGCCATGAAAAAAATATATAACATCATAGTTTAAACCAGGGGTCTCCAACCTTGGCAACTTTAAGACTTGTGGACTTCAACTCCCAGAATTCTTAATGTTGCCAAGGTTGGAGACCCCTGGTTTAAAAGATTGATAATACTTTCATCAGCTCAGTCTATATCAATAATTATATTATAATGCTTCATTTTGAAGGGACAAGAATGATTTGGAATTCTAAAATGTTTGGATTTGTTTTGCTAATACGCTATTTTTTAAAAACAGAGCAATATTGATCAACCTATAGGCTGATTTTACATGCACTAACTGATTGCTAAGGGATCCGGTCATGACAATGCAGATTTAAAACAGAATTTATGTCCAGACTGTTAGGGAAAATTAACTCCCTGAACAGCTTATCATATTTAAATACTAGCGTTTTGGAAAGATGCACCCGTCTAACTATATCATCCAAACAAACAAAACGGAATGTGATCTACCCGCTTAAGTTCTTCATCTAGGAAGTTGGTCTGACTGATTTTATACCAACAAAATAAGTGTTTTAAATCCGGCATTGTAATTCTGACCTGATCCTTTCATTTTGCCATTCATATTGGATGACATGGCAAATCCCAATGCATAATGTATATTTTAAATTAAAACAACAACAACCCTGCAGAGCCATGTTCACTACTCGTTTCCTTTAACTATAAAGTGAGCTCTGTTGTTGCCTTAAAGGTGGGAAGCTGTTGTGCTGTGAATCTTGTCCTGCATCCTTCCACCCGGAATGTCTTAACATAGAGATGCCAGGCGGCTCCTGGAACTGCAACGATTGCAAATCTGGCAAGAAATTGCGATACAAGCAGATCGTTTGGGTCAAGCTTGGAAATTACAGGTACCTTAAAGCCAATGAACCATCTTTATCTTTTTTTTTTTTTCATCATCATACCGGTATTATAAAGCGCAATGACTCTGGAAACTTGATTTCAGAGACCTTGCCCTTAGACGTACTCATCTGTTTTTCAAAAATTCACTTTTGACCTTAATTTTGATCATGGAACTTTTGGCACACAAATGGCACTGCTGAACATACAGCCTTTGACGTTCACGTAAAAAGGGTTCTTGAGGGTCGGTGGCTTCTTTTAATTTATTAGTAAAATTGAACAATAATCTTTTGTTTGTATTTATGGAGGTTGCTTATTTTAGGTCCCATCATTTGAATGAGGATATTGTTAGAATTTGCTGCATAAAGTCCAGAAAACACACAGGTGACTGGTTCAGTAGGATCATTAACTTCTTTATAAACATAATAAGATGATTAAACTTTACAATACCATTTGTAGATTCTTTCAACGTAACATAAGCAAAAACAAGCTGCAGTAGCTCAGAGCAGATATCAGTTTCACTTTAGTTCAGCAGGCAAGCAAAACTAGTTTCAGTTTAGAGCTGAGAGTACTAACCCAGTAACTGAGAGTAGTAACCCAGTAACTGAGAGTAGTAACCCAGGCTACTTCTAGTTTCACTTTCCAGTTCAGCTCCCGTTGGCTGCTCTGTTGCCATGCCTGTTAATTGGCTGACTTTGTTACTAAGCTCTATTCCAGTTCAGGAATATACTCCGACAGATATCAGTAGAGCTAACCTGACACAGAGTTTGATATACAGGAAGTCCTCAACTTACAAACACAACTGAGCCCAAAATTTGTGTTGCCAAGTGAATGGTTGCAATTGTTAAATTAGTAGCCTGGTTGCTAAGTGAATCTGGCTTCCCCCGTTGATCCCATGACCCCGGGGCACTGCAATCGTCACAAAAGTGAATCCGTTGTCAAGCATCCAGATGTAAATCACGTCACCCTGGCGATGCTGAAACAATTCGTAACTCTGAAAAACAGTTGCAAGTCACTTTTTTTCAGCGACGTCGTAACTTCGAATGTTCACTAAGTGAACTTTCGTAAGTCAAGGACTACCTGTATTCAACTAGATAACTGATGGGGGAATAATTGTGTAAGACTGTATTGAAGTAAATTAATCTATGGGAATTGGCTGAGGAACTGAAATCTAAACAAACTGCTTGCTTCTCCAATTGTTCTCACCTTTTATCCTTACCTTTACCAATTCCTCGTTCTCCTAGGTGGTGGCCAGCTGAGATATGCAATCCGAGATCTGTTCCTTTCAACATCCAGGGCCTCAAGCATGATGTTGGGGACTTCCCGGTATTTTTCTTCGGCTCACATGATTACTACTGGGTGCATCAGGGGAGAGTCTTCCCCTACGTTGAAGGAGATAAAAGCTTTGCTGAAGGGCAAACTAATATTAACAAGACTTTCAAAAAAGGTAAATTTACATGATTTCTGCTGGCTAAGGGTCCACATTTTGGGGTCTCCATCGTCCCCGAATAGGGAAATGGTGTCTTGAAATTAAGACACCGTTTAGTTGATTAAGCTCCATTTAATTCTATTTAAGATGGTTCTATTCTCCATGTCAGACCGTAAATAATATCATTTCTGGAAGGATTTCCTACCTCATTTGAAAGAAAATGATTATAGAAGTATTGATTTAGAGAAAAAAAATGTTTGTTTGTTTTTTTCAAAAGTCATGACACAATAAAATGTGTGGGATAAACATAATTTGTGGAAAAACCATTCATCCTTCTTCTGAAGAACCGGCAAATCGTGCCCCTGTCTGGCCCCGCCCCTCTCCACCCTCCCCTCCCCTCCCCGCCCAGTCCTTATCGTGCATGCGCAACATCGCGTGCATGCCCAACATGCTGACTGCATTCTCCCCTGCCCAGTCACTCCTTAAGGCATTTCTTTCTTTCCCACCTTCCGACGATCAGCTGTGCCAGGATCCCCCAAGCTGTCTTATTGCTTCGCCCAGGAGGCTTCCTTGAGGCCCAGGAGGCCAAAAAACACAGCGCGGGGGAGGGGGGGAAATTGCTGAGGAAAAAGGCCACGCCCACCCAGTCACATGGTCACACCCACCTAGCCACGCTCACAGAACCAGTAGTAAAAATATTTGCATCCCACCCCTGCCTAAATCTGGTATAAGATTAAGGACAAATATTCCGGCCTGGACACTTTCTAATGAGCCATGTTTATTCTGTTGCAAACTAACAGAAGAAGAGTCTCAGGATCTCTTAAGGGCCCAGGAATTTTTTTAGGAGAAATGTTGTTGGTGTTGTGAGTCGCGAAGTCGTGTCTGACCCATTGCGACCCCATGGATAACATTCCTCCAGGCCATCCTGTCCTCTACCATCCTCCTGAGTCCATTTAAGCTCACGCCAACTGCTTCAGTGACTCCATCCAGCCATCTCATTCTCTGTCTTCCTATTTGGCCTCAATCGTTCCCAGCATTAGGCTCTTCTCCAATGAGTTCTTCCTTCTCATGAGGTGGCCAAAGTCTTTGAGTTTCACCTTCAGGATCTGGCCTTCTAAAGAGCAGATCGGGGTTGATCTCCTCTTGGAATGACCGGCTTGATTGCGTTGCAGTCCCGAGGATCTTGCGGGAATCATCTCCGTAGTTCAAAGTCCTCGATTCTTTGGTGCTCAGCCTTCCTTATAGAGGAAATGTTAATGCCTTACAAAGGAATAACCCATCTCACAAAAGATAATTCAGGAATCAAGTTGACACAAGGCTTAAGGAATCGACTAAGCTTGTCGATCAGAAAGGTCGGCAGTTCAGCAGTTCGAATCCCTAGTGCCACATAACCGAGTGAGCTCCCGTTACTTGTCCCAGCTTCTGCCAACCTAGCACTTTGAAAACATGTTTAAAAAAAGCAAGTAGAAAAATAGGGACCCCTTTGATGGGAAGGGAACAGCGTTCTGTGTGCCTTCGAAGGCGTTTAGTCCTGCCAGCCACATGACCACGGAGACGTCTTCAGGCAGCGCTGGCCCTTCGGCCTTGTAACGGAGATGAACACCACCCCCTAGAGTCAGAAATAACTAGCACATACGTGCGAGGGGAACCTTTATCTTTTAAGTAATGGAATGTGCGAATGACCTTGGGGAAAGAAAGTAGGAGGTGCTGCCTAAGAAACATTGAGATAAGAGAGGCAGGAGCCGGCAGTTACTTAATGAGCAGAGAAAAAAAATTAGGAAAGACTAATGAATCAAGTAATTAAAAGTGGAATGGGAAGCTTGTGCTTTCAGACTGACAGGATTCTGCCAGTATAGTCTCACAATTGCACTGATGATGTTACCTAGTTTTATCAACAAAAATAAAATACAAAACAGAAAAAAACATGCATCCAGCACTAACAAGTACACCATCGTGCCTCCCGTCCCTGTCCTATTGTCCCTATTTAATCGTACCTATTTTCTGTATTCTTACTCATGTTTATACTTAAACCTATTACCTTGTAAGCGATTGACAGATCAAATAAATAAATAAAATAAACAACAACAAAAGTTGGTGTACAAAAAAGGGAGGGAAATGACCTGCCTGGTGTACCTGATAGGACTGACATCAGATGAAAAGAAGGACTAGGAGTGACATGATGAGTTGCAATATTTGAGGGGTTGCCCCAAAGAAGAGAGGGGTCAACCTATTCTCCAATGCAGTGGTTGCCAAACGGTGGGCCCGGGGACCACTGGTGGTCCGCAAGAAAATTTTGCCGGTTCGCAGAGAAATGTCCCCCCTCCCAGCACCCCCCAAAGCAATTAATCCAGGCTGCATGGGAACACATGGCCCTCCCACCCGCTGGTCCCCACCCTTTGGCCAAGCACAAACTTTACCTTGAGTAGAGCCACACGAGCTGGAACTAGAAGGTAAGACCAATGGTGGAGGAGGGAAATCCGCCCCGGGGTGGCTTGCTGACGTTGGTGGGAATGTCGGTCCCATATTCCAGAGCTGCCGTAGTCACCGGACTGGCCCTTTGGTCCTCCTGGAGCAGCTCCTCCAGTCCATGGCAGGCCGGTGCACCCGGGTGGAGGAGCAGCTGATCCAGGATGGCCAAAGGGCCAGTCCTGTGACTCCTGCAGCTCTGGAACATGGACCGACTTTCCCATCACCATCAGCAAGCCACCATCAGTCAAAATTCATATTTGTGGTCCGCGGAATTTAAAATTATGAGTTTGGTGGTCCCTGAGGTCCAAAAGGTTGCTCCAAAGCACCTGAGGGCAGGACAAGAAGCAATGGGTGGAAACTAATCAAAGAGAAAAGCAACCTAGAACTGTGGAGAAATTTCCTGATAGTTAAAACAATCAATCAATGGAACAACTTTGCCTCCCGAGGTTGTGAATTCTCCAACACTGGGAAGTTTTGAAGAAGAGATTGGATGACCATTTGCATGAAACAGGATAGAGCCGTGATGGTGAACCTATGGCATGCGTGCCAGAAGTGGTACACAGAGTCATCTCTCCGGGCACACCAGCCACCTCCTGTTCTTCTTCTGGACTCCAGCACTCATGCGCACTGGCCAGCTGGTCTTCACACATGAGGAAGTGCTGGAAAGTGGAAGAGCAGCTCCCCTGCATGCGCTGGCCAGCTGGTCTTCCTATGCACATGTGCATTAGAAAGCGGAAGACCAGGTGGCTGGCACGCTTTCCAGCGCTCCTGCACAGCGCACCAGGGAGCTGCTCTTCCGGTTTCTGGCACGCGCAAGTCCTGTTTCAGCACTCAGTGCCGAAAAAGCTTAGCCACCACTGGTATAGGGTTTCCTGCCTGAGTAGGGGGTTGGACTAGAAGACCTTCAAGGTCCCTTCCAACTCTGTTATTCTAGTCTAAAACTTGCAAACCTGAAGGCACAAATTTTCCCACCTCCACTTTTAAGGACTTGGTCCATTAGGGCAGCTCTTCTCTAAGTTTCTCCTTCTGGCCATTAAGCAACTGCAGGCTCCTGCCTCTCTTATCTGATTGTTTCCTAGGCAGCATTTCCTTCTGTCTTCATCCCAGCTCATCCATACATTCCATTACAGATGTGTCACTAAGCTCATTGCTTTTAAGTAGAGGCCAGGCCTAGACATTACATCAAGGGTCCCCAAACTTGGCAACTTTAAGATTGGTGGACTTCAACTCCCAGTATTCCTCAGCCAGCCAAGTTTGGTTGGCCAAGTGATTGCTTTTCTGGCCGAGGAATTCTGGGAGCTGAAGTCCACCAGTCTTAAAGTTGCCAAGTTTGGAGACCTCTGCACTACGTAATTGTTTAAATGAGTTTTGGTCTTTGCGGATCTCTGACTATAGTTGCTAATGCTAGCTTTTTTTCTGCTTTGGGGGGAAAAACTTACACAGCACTTGAAGAAGCAGCAAAACGCTTCCAGGAATTAAAAGCACAAAGAGAAAGCAAAGAAGCACTTGAGATTGAGAGGAATTCCAGAAAACCGCCTCCGTATAAACACATTAAAGTGAGTCCATTGTATGATTCGGGGGTGTGCATGTATGTGCGTGAAGCCTATAGGTGGATGTTAAGTGCGTCGCTTCTTAAATGTGAGGATATTTTATTTTTCTAGGCGTATAGGTAGAATTTTAGCCTGTTTGTTTTGGAAAATTTTGGATCTGCTTTGAAACTGGAGGTTAGTATCTTGAGCTTCCTTTTTCTCTGCTTAAGACTTATCACAGAATTCTCTACTCTCATAAAACCTTTGATTCTGCTCACAAAAGTTGTCATCCAAAGGTAAATGTACAATATTGATTTGATTGCTTGGCTGTGCAAAGGAACTTTCACAGGCATATAAGAAGACATCTGATATATCTGTTCTGACCCATGCTCTTTTCCAACAAATCAAACACAATCCAAAAGGAACAGAAACCTTTTAATGCTTCTGCAAAATAATTAGCTGTGATAAGCACAAGCCTTGCCAAACTGTACAAGACTTGCCAAAAGATAACAGACAAGAAATAATTTGCAATACAGGAATCTTCAAATACAAACTCAGGATACTGGAATGTCCACGAGGCTGAGTTTCAAAACAACTTTGCCTTCTGCAAAGAACGTTTCACAGCTGGCTTTTATCTTCTTGAAGGAGGGGCCATTACCTTGTAGCCTTACTCCCGAGTCGCCTGTGCTGTTGTAGCTGCTCTTTCCTACGAGCAATCCTGCATGCACACGCACTTGGCACAGGCTCCTTGGGAACCTCCTCATCCCTGCTGCCAGCTCCCACAATCTCCGAAGGCAGCAGTCCACTCCCTAATTGTCCTGGCCCCTCATCTGAGTCCTCGCTCTCCTCAGCCGTCTGCACCTGCTGCCAGCTAACCACAATAATATCAGATTGGAATATTCTAACTAAAAGCAATGTTCGGTTATTGGCAGCAAAAGAGATTCACTTGAAACATTTTGGGTGTAAAGAGCAAAATACTTTATTATAGAGATCTGGTCTGATTCTCCTTTACTGTGAACTAATGCTCTGCCTCTGCCCCTCATTCTGCATCCCACAGTCCAACAAAGTGGTAGGAAAAGTCCAGATCCAAGTTGCGGACCTGTCCGAGATCCCACGGTGTAACTGTAAGCCAGCGGATGAGAACCCTTGCGGCCTGGAGTCAGAGTGCTTAAATCGAATGCTGCAGTACGAGTGTCACCCTCAAGTTTGCCCTGCGGGAGAACGCTGCCAAAACCAGTGCTTTACCAAAAGGCTCTATCCAGAAGCAGAAATTATCAAAACTGATCGACGCGGCTGGGGTCTGCGGACCAAACGGAACATTAAAAAGGTACCCAGAAGCTTGCTTGTTTTTGAATGGGTTAGCACTAGCACTTAGACTTACTATATCCCACTTCACCGTGCTTTTACAGCCCTCTCTAAGCAGTTTACAGAGTCAGCCTCTTGCCACCAACAATCTGGCCCCTCATTTTACCGACCTCAGAAGGATGGAAGACTGAGTCAACGTTGAGTCAGTCAGGATCGAACTGCTGGCAGTGGTTAGAGGGAGGGAGGGAAGGACGGAAGGAAGGAAGGAAGGAAGGAAGGAAGGAAGGAAGGAAGGAAGGAAGGAAGGAAGGAAGGAAGGAAGGAAGGGTGGGTCAGCCTAGTGCCCCCAACAATTTGGGTCCTCATTTACCCACCTCAGAAGAATGGAAGGCTTGAGCTGGTTAGGATTGAACTGGTGGCAGTGGACAGCCTGCAATACTGCATTCTAACCACTGGGAGAGAGTGTGGGAAGGGAGGGAGGGAGGGAGGATAATAACAATAGCACTTAGACTTATATACCGCTTCACAATGCTTTTACAGCCCCTCTCTAAGCAGTTTACAGAGTCAGCCTCTTGCTCCCAACTATCTGGGTCCCCATTTTACCCACCTCAGAAGGGTGGAAGGCTGAGTCAACCTTGAGCCTGGTGGGATTTGAACTGCCAAATTGCAGGCAGACGGCAGTCAGCAGAAGCAGCTTGCAGTACTGCACTCTAACCACTGCACCACTGTAGCTCATATCTAATTCCTTTTTATTCTTTAAAAATCAAATGAAAGGACGAAGATAAAAACTAAGCCAGAATGAAAGAGGGGGGGAAATGCTGCCTTATGACATTTCTCATTTTCTACACATATGTAAAATAATAGAAACACACATAGCTAAGCATCACTTGTAAAGTTTAGCTAGATTCTTAGAGTCTGGAATTCTTTTATTATTCACTTAAAAGATCTTTTAATTTCTCCCCCCATCTCTATTCAAGCAAGGAAGTGAGCTGTTTCACCAACATTTTTGTTGTTAAAAACAGTCAAGCAAACCCACAAAAGATGCTTGAACTATCAACACTAAATGAAATCTTATTAAATTCCTTTTTTTCTTTCATTTTCTTTTAATAGCAGATTGAGAAATACAGCTCTATAGTATAAATGCTCCCGTTTATAAGTCCATTTCTCTTTTTGATCTTTTTTTTTAGGGTGAATTTGTCAATGAATATGTTGGTGAATTAATTGACGAGGAAGAGTGCAGATTGCGAATTAAGCGTGCCCATGAGAACAGCGTGACCAATTTTTATATGTTAACTGTTACAAAGGTAAAAGGATACCCTGTGTGTGTGTGTGTGTGTGTGTGTGTGTGTTTGTATATCATTCCATCATCAGAGGTATTATGATGTTGACACCTGGGAAAATGACAGATATTTCTGCATGTGAAATCCACAAGCAAAAAAACCTGAGCTAAATTATCAAGAGTTTCAAATAAATCCAGCTGGTTACTTAATCTACTTAATCTTCCTGCAGAGACTATGAAAACAGAAAAGGTGTTTAGAACATCGAATATTATTATTATTATTATATTTTATTCTATTCTACTTTGGTATTATTTTATTCTGTTCTATGGTCCCTCCTATTCTATTCTATTCTATTCTATTCTATTCTATTCTATTCTATTCTATTCTATTCTATGGTTCTTCTATTCCATTCTATCATTCTCTATTCTATTCTATTCTATTCTTATTCTACTCTATTCTATTCTTATTCTGTTCTCGACATCCTAGTTGAAACCCTTCATTCTTTTAATAGGTGTGGTGCTAATTACTGCATCCTTTTGCCTTATTCAAGGACCGCATAATAGATGCTGGACCAAAGGGAAACTACTCTCGCTTCATGAACCACAGCTGCAACCCCAACTGTGAAACCCAGAAGTGGACAGTCAATGGAGATGTCCGGGTGGGACTCTTTGCTTTATGCGATATTCCTGCAGGTAAATGCCCTTCTGAACGTTCCCGTTGCCTTTGGAAGTGAGTGCGGATATGTTGACCTCTTTGTTGCCTTTTTTGTTTGTTTGTTTGTTTGTTTGTTCATCTCAGAGACCTGTGTTTTGTCAAAGGAGATTCTCAGTCATCCAGGTGGTCCTAAAAGTGCTTTTTCAGAAGGCAACTGGACTTTGTTCCCTTGAAGACGCCTATTATCTCGGGAGCCCTGTCTATCAGGGCAACCTGATCTGCCCAAATATGGGAAGAATCCCCAGTCCAGGAGCCTTCACAGGCGGTCGCTTCCATGACAAACTATTTGGGGGTTGAATTTAAATTTTACCGACAAAAAAAAGCAAAGGGAGACTAGTATAGCGATTTCAAGCTGTTTAGCTCTCTTCAGCTAGGCATACCCATCTGGGATTTGAACCCTGGGCCGCTTGCGTATTAGGCAGATGTATTAACCTCTAGGCCACGAGCTTCCCTCGCTTTGTCAGCTGTACCGGGGAGAGATTCAGTGTTTTATCCGGTGAGACCGGCCTGTCAGGGCAACCTGGTCTATCCAAATATGGGACT